CTCCAGGCTGGCAAATTCCTGGGGATTTGAGGGGTGGAGCCTGGAGAGGGTGGGGTTTGCAGAGGGGTGGGACCTCAGACAGGTAGAATGCCATAGACTACACCCTCCAAACCAGCCATTTTGTCCTGGGTAACAATTGCTGCCAATCTCCAGGTGAGGGCTACATATCATTCACAATTACAACTGCTCTTCAGGTAGCAGAGATCAGTTCCTCTGGAGAAAACAGTGGACTCTGTCATTATACCAGAGCACTGCCCCAGAGCCTCTTTCTAGATCTCGTCGTATTGCTTTCACAACGGGCTTTACTGCTAGTGTATATATATGTTCATTTAATAAAAAATTAGTTAAAAATAAAATATATGTTTGTAACTAATATTGAAAATTTTAGCATCTCGTTGCAGTGGTTCTTTTATAGGTAATGGGTGGCCTCTTTAATAGCCTCTTGGGCTTTACTGCTAGTGTATATATATGTTCATTTAATAAAAAATTAGTTAAAAATAAAATATATGTTTGTAACTAATATTGAAAATTTTAGCATCTCGTTGCAGTGGTTCTTTTATAGGTAATGGGTGGCCTCTTTAATAGCCTCTTGGTGTAATCTGATGTTGGAAAAGCTGGGAGTCTTTTACATGGTGGGGAGGGGTGCTGCCTGCCTGCCTGCCTCTCTTCATTTCAGGCAGACTCATCCAGCCCTGTATACTAACAACTACACTTAAACCAATTTTGTCTTTTGTAGCTGTGTGGGTTTGATTTGTGTTCAGTTTAAGCCAAATGTGTAACTGAATTATCTCTGTGGTTCCAAATAAAAGCCAGGGAGAACATTTTGATCTCCAGAATGTCGTTGACATTTATATTTGCTTAACATTGTTATCTATGAAATAGAAAATTAATTGATGACAGTTGTTCAGAATTTAATTTCATTGTTTCATAACAGCTAACAAACTTAGGGGTTTTTTTTTGTGTGATCCTTGCTTGAGTCTGACTAAATTAGATGTTTTAACTAGCAGTGCTAGTCTAAGCAAGTCCACTCAGAATCCTACCCAACTGTGCTCAATGGGATTTGCTGCCAGGAAAGTGCCCGTAGGGTTGCACCGTAAACGAATGCTTTCAATAATGACCGTCATTTAACTGTCCACCTGTCAGAGAACCAAGTGGACTGATTTGGAGATGATCTAAGACTGCTGGTGGTGTTATCGTTTACCAGTATTTATGTTCTGAGCTGGTTAGGTGAGAGAGCAGGAAGTTACTCTCTGAACACATATTTTCATATGTAGAATAAAATGTATAGTTGAACATTTATCTTGTCACATTTGGGAAAGAGCGGGAATTTTGAATTTAAGCTGCTTGTATTCCATTTTTATGTGTTTCATTGTAGTTGTTGAAGCCGGCTTCAGAAAACGTGTGTTTTAAAGTACTTGTCTTTGCATTTTGCTTTTTGACCAGGGATGAACGTGTGATCAGTTTATTTCTCTGCACTTAATCATTCTGTAAACCGTCAGTGTTCAGTGATCGCTGCCTTCAGAATTTTGCAGTCTGTTTTCTTCCTCGTTCTTTTTCATGGTTGGTGCTGATGCATGAATTGTCACAGTGCTAACAGGGGGCCGGTCACTTGTAATTCTGCCAGAAAAAACCTCTGTCGCCACACTCTTACTGCCTGAGGGGATGTACTGCGCCGCTTTTATGATACAGCACTTTTCTTTTGTGCCAGCTACATGTGTGCATGCCGAATTTGCCTGTTTCTTTTATTCCTTTTCTCAACAGCTGTTCTGAAGAAGAGTGTCTGGAATAAATGGGCCATTTTTATGCAACTTTCTTTGCGGTAGATCATCAGTATTTGGCAGGGGAAGCTTCAGTTGCAGTGATGTGTGGAAAAGCTTTCTATATTTAATTTTTAATTTTTGACCCCTTGGTGGCTGGCATGTTGCATTTTTGATGAGCTGAAGCAGGACATCTCCCCTTTCCCCTCTGCCTGGGTTGCTCATGCGTTAACTACAGGACAGTAGAGCTTAGGCAGGATAAAATGTAGGTCTAGACGGAAAAAGGGATTTGCGAGGAGCAGGTATCCACTAGTGATTTTAGTATCTAAGTTAATAGAGAAGGGCTTTGCTTACATAGACCAGATTTGTGATTTGCATGTACTCTGAGTCCAAGGCAAAATACTCTAAAATGCATTGAGAGCAAGAGGGTTTTCTCCTATGTGCTCCCAAACTACTATTAGTCTTAATACATAAGTGAAAGAGAAAAATAAGATGAGCCAACTTGCAGGAAGCAAACGCACAGTAGTCTAATAAAGCAAAAACATATTACATAACTGTACCAAAATAACAATCTGTATGATGGGTTGGAATCAATCAGCTTTTCTGCTTGTGAAAAAGGGGACGATGAGGATGGATCCCTTTGCCCACCAAAAATGCTATGCTGGGGATCGTGGGACCTATTTGGATAAAACCCTCACAGGATGGGGCCTGTAATTAGGCACAGAATTGGATTGAGTGGGGAAAAAAA